TAGAAACAACATGGGTGTTTCTACTACAGAGTTCAGCAGAGCCTGCATGAATCATTCTCTAAGAAGAGGCTCTGGTTGGAACCTTTGCTGTTGCACTAATGTGAATTCTTCCACTGGGGGACAAATAAAGGTCATTCCTGCTTATTCCTAATTAGACGTTAGATTCTCCAGGAGGGTGATCAGAACCGCCGCGCACTGCGTCAAGGCTCTGACAAAGCTCGGCTAACCAGGGGAAAATTTATTTCATCTCTTCCAAGAATGATTTCCTTGGCTACAGAAAGACATAAAAATGATCAACGAGGAGCAATAAAAGGATTAATAATAAAAAAAAGTGTGTTTTGGTTCTCTGGATCCAACTCTGTTAGAATCAGAACAAACGGATATCATGCTTTAAACGACGTCTCTGGGCGTGCACGCCGCTGAGAGAACAGCTGGAAACAGCACCTGTGCAGACCGCAGCTGGCCCCGTGTGTAATGTGTGTGTGACTAATGATAATCAGATGTACAACACACTCTTTTCCACTATTTTTCCTAACCTTCTCATCCCTTCTCCACTCTCTCTGTTCTTCTTTCCATCCTGGGAAACCTGCAGCCTCTTTATTAGGTCTCTATCCCTGAGAAACAAGCAGATTGTTTCATTTATCTGTCTGTTGCTTTATTCTCCCCTCTATAAGCAGTGAAACTGAAGAGAAAGCAATGCCACACTGTGCTGCGAAATGTAAACCTGCATCATCCGTCCTGAATGGCTGCTGTGAAAAACAAACAGACGCGAGTAATTATGGCGTCAGTGGGAAAAAGACTCAAACAGAAACCAGCACTGACAAATGTGTAAATATGAAGAGCTGAACATTTACTAAGAGCTGTGCTTTAGGAGGATTACGTGTGGAAACAAGATAATAATGAGGCTCATCTGTGGTCTGAATGGAAGTGGAAACACTCAGTCTGACGCTCGTACCGGAAACACGAATAAGTCTTAAGTTAAAACATTTAAAGAGTCAAGTCAGCACCTGACCATTTACAGTGGGATGTGAACGTTTGGGCAGCCGTGTTAACCTTCCTGATTTTCCTGTTCACTGTAAACCCAAAATAATCAAAAATATTGAGTAGATTAAACTCATAATTTAAAAAAAATGTTTTTAGAAATCAAATGTGTTGAGCTTGTTCAACCTTTTCCTTGTTTTAAGTACATAGAACTCAAACATTTTAATTAATCTGAACCATTTATTTTAAAGTAAACATAACTTAAATTAATCAATAAAGACAACTTAACTTTAATGAGTGTCATTAACCAAAAAATGATTGATTTATCATTTTATGTTTCTATGTTATTCCATTCATCTTTACATCAACCCTAAAGTGTGTCTGATAAACAGGCTTGTATATTATTTTAAATATTTGTGGATTTACAAGAAAAACAACCACAAACTAGCAATTTTGTTGGATTTCAGGAACAATAAACAGCTGGTGGGGGAGGTGCATTGTGGATAGTCATGTTTTCAGTTATTTTGCTCTATTTTCGGGTGTTTATGCATGTTTATTGTGGAGTATTGTTGTTCTCAGTTATTATTTTGTTCAGTGTTGCAGATGTGGTGTTGATTTTTGTATCACGTTGGCACCATAACTGAGGAGGTTGGCTGTGCTGTCCCATTGTTATTAATACTGTGGTTGTTCACACCAGATGCTCTTGACTTGACTTTGAGTGTTCCACTTTCATTGGCTGTTGGCATCTAGGTGTGTGAGTCATGATCTGGTGTTAGTTACTGCCTTCACCAGCCTGTCACATTGTCACTTTTAAGTAAATTCAACTTATTTGGGTTAGGGTTTATTAGGTCCATTTAGAGTTCATATAAGTTATAATTTTTAAGTTAGTAAAAACATGTAATAAAGTTCAAATAAAATAAAATATGCAAGTTTAGTGAAATTAAACTTTGTAAGTTGCTTAAGTACTAAGTCATAGGTTGGAGGTAGTTAAATGCTTTGATTTTATTCAGGTCATATTTTTTAAGTTATGGTAAACTTATAGTTTTTAGATAAGCTAACTTAAAAATTATTAGGTAATCAGTTTCCTCAAAATTTTTAGTTCAGTGAACTTATTCGGGGTTACAGTGTAGCAATTGTTGGTTGTTAACAAAGAATTCAGTTAAACACATCACAAAGGACACACACACACACACACACACACACACACACACACACACACACACACACACACACACACTGATATTTGAGAAGCTAAACCAAGTTTCTAGGATTTATAGAAAATGTGCAATAATTTTTAAACAATATTAGACCAGTTGTTATGGGCACCAGCCTGGCCGTTTGGATGCAGGAGCCAGGATCAGCCTGACACCGACCCTCCTCCTCCTCTCTTCCAGGCTGCTGAGGAGCACAGCTGAGCTGAATCCCCCTGACGACCCACACCTGGGATAAAAAGGCTGTGCCTTCAGCAGTCTGGGAGCAGTGCAGGGGTTCTGCTGTCCTCCAGGCATCAGAGTTTGGTTTAAACCCCTTTGAATTGATGAGTTTTAACTTCTAAAGTTTTAACTCTGAGTTAATGAGTTTTAAAGGGTAAGACTGAGTGATCCATAGGGATCTTTGGTTGATGTCAACTTGGTTGACTCTGTTTTGGTTTTAAAACTTGTATCTACTTTGTTGTTTTAAAACACCTTCAGTTTTGGTAACACTTAAAGTTTTGACCAGTTGTTTGAATTAATTTGTCATTATAGTTAACCTTTTTGAGAAGTTTTGTTAGGCATTATTTAAATAATGCTCTCCATCTGTTTGCTCGCTTGTTATTAAAACATTTTATGGCAGTTAAACCCATTTTAAATCCATTGTAATATTTTTATGTTACCCCTTCCTTCACATTTTAACAAAACATGTCGGGGTTGTAACACGGGTGCAAAAATCTGGCCACCACAAAAAAAATAAATAAATAAATAAACTAACTCAATATTTAGTAAATCCTCCTTTTGCATGAATAACAGCCTCTAAACTTTTCCTGTAGCTTCCAATGAGAGTCTGGATTCTGGTTGAAGCTATTCTGGGCCATTCTTCTTTACAAAGCATCTCTAGTTCATTCTGTTTGATGTTTTCTGAGCATGGACTGCTCTCTCTAACTCACCACAGATTTCCAATAATATTCAGGTCTGGCGACTGAGGTGAACATTCCAGAATGTTGAAATTGTTCCACTGCGTGAATGCCTTCGTAGATGTTGATTAGTGTTTAGGGTTGTTGTCTTGTTGAAAGATCAAGCCCTGGTGCAGCTTCAGCTTTGTCACTGATTCCTGGACATTGGTCTCCAGGATCTGCTGATACTGAGTTGAATCCATGTGTCTCTCAACTTTAACAAGATTCCCAGTCCCTGCACTGGTCACACACCCCACACCATGATAGAACCACCACCGTGTTTTACTGTAGGTAGCAGCTGTTTTTCCTCCATGCATAACACCCAATGTTATACCCAAATAACTCAGTTTTAGATTCATCAGTCCACAGCACCTTATTCCAGCATGAAGTTGGCTTGTCCAAATGTGCTTTAGCATACCTCAAGCGGCTCTGTTACTGCTGTGGGTGGAGGAAAAAGCTTCCTCTCAATTAGTCCCACGTGCAGCATCTCCTTGTGTAAAGTGCACTGAATAGTTGAACGATGCACAGTGACTCCATCTGCAGCAAGATGATGTTGTAGGTCTTTGGTGCTGATCTGTGGGTTGACTCCGACTCTTGTCACCATTCTGTTTCTGTTTACCTGAGATTTTTCTTGCTCTGCCACTTGGAGCCTTACCCCTTCTTTCCACCGGAGCCGTCAGCAGCCGTCAGCAGCGCGAGTCGGCCGCGTCTCAGAGCAGCATGTTGCGGCCCTTACGCGCCGGTTCTATTTTCTACGTGCGACGCCTCTGAAACGGGTCAAGTTTGACATTTTTGGGGATGGAAAGACAGGAAATTGGACGCGGAAACGGCACGAAGCTCCCGAGATTTTCAGAATAAAGAAACGTACTGCCTTCCGGTTACTTTACTTTAAAAAAAGTCACTAACTGTGCGGCCCCGTGAGAAGTTATCACCTAGCTAGCGGTCTCCTTTGTTTTTCAGGTCCGTATTGGCGATTATAAAACGGACAGAACATAAAACACAAACCTTTTGGAGCCATGTTGTAGTTTTCTCCTGCTTGTTGTTGTGTTTACTGACAAAGTCACTCGTGTGACTTCGTGCTCTGTCGGTGACAGCTGCTCCCCTGCTGCTTCGCGTCTCTGGTGGGAAGGGCCAAGCAGCAGCTTACGCGAGCAAGACGTGCTGCTGATGGCCCCAGTGGAAAGAAGTCTTTAACTTGAACTGTGCCTGTGGTCTTCCATTTCCTTAAAATGTTCCTAACTGTGGAAACAGAAGCTGAAATCTCTGAGAAAGCTTTCTGTATCCTTCCCCTGAACCATGATGGTGAACAATCTGTTGTCAGGTCATGTGAGTTGTTGTGAGACTCCCATGTTTCTGCTCTTCAGATAATATTAAAAGATGAGGGAATCTTATAACTGGTCCCTTAAATACTCTCATTCTCATAACTAGGGTCACCTGTGTATGGAGGTCAAGGGTCACTGAGCTTACCAAGCAAATTTTGAGTTCCAGTAGTTAGTTCTAAAAGAGTTGGAACCAAAACAATGACAACAGTGCCCAAATGTACCCGCCTAATTTTGTTTAAACAATTATTGAACACTTTCTGCAAATCCTATAAACTTTGTTTCACTTCTCAAATATCAGTGTGTGTCTCTCCTATATGATTTAGTTAACTGTAATTTTTTACTGTCACAACCAGTGATTTATACGGGAAAATCATGAAGATTAACAACGCTGCCCAAACTTTCACATCCCACTGTATGTGCAGGATGGTGTATATATTTTTTATTTACTGGCTTTAATAGTTTTTTGTATCGCAACCATTATGTCTCAAGTCCACCTTTAAGATGCTGGTGTATTAATGACCTGTTGTCTCTCTTTTTTTTGTCTCCAGACTGCCCAGATGAATCCCATGACACAGCTGTACTACAAGAAGGTGAGCTGGATAGGCTGCAGTTGGCAGCTAACCGTAAATCCCTGTGTGCTAATTGTTCCCCTCAATCCAAAACTCACAGCTGTAAAACTGCTCCCAGCTACTGAGAATGTTTTTAAAATGAGGTTTGATGTTTTTAACAGTAAGCCCTCCTGTAACACTTCCTGTAATTATCACATGGAAACACAGATGTTTGCTATATTGATGTAATTCGATTTTTCTTATATTTAAAAGCTATAACTGGTGCACATGTCCAGATAGTTCTTTGTAACTGTATTTCCTCTTTACAGATAGTGTCATTAGGACCAATCTTAGCTTAGGGAGAGGATGCCTCAGCCTACTGCAGTCCTGTTTCTGCTGTCACCATGTACCTGCAAAAGTGTTGATATTGGTCAAAAGTGTCACTTATGCAGTGGTGGAAGAAGTACTTGATCGTTTTGTTACTTAGGTAAAAATACAGATAAAGGGTGAAATAAATTACTTCAGAAAAGGTGGAAGTACCCTAAGGAATTTTTGAATTAAGTAAAAGTATTAAAGTATGCGTTTTCCAGTGTACTTAAAGGTAGAAAAGTACGATAAGACTTAACTAATCCCAGCAAATAAAAAAAAAATTAAATAAGACAAGACACCATATACAACAGTAAAAGTATTCAACTAAAGCCTGATTTATGCTTCTCCGTCTGCGTCAGTGCGGAGACACGCAAAACCATTATCCGTCCTTGCGTAGGGCTCCGGCAGGCACGCAAGTACGTACGGAGTCGAGCCCACTTTTTTAAACATCCGTCGAACGAGACGGATTACGCAAGCTTGTGATTGGTCAGGATGCCGCTGTTGTTTACAGCGCCGCCATTGCAAAGAGAGCCGAGGATAACTAGTGGCAGACACGGAGAAGCTTGAAGAATACCTCGCGAAAAAACTAAAAATATGAACGTTTAATTCTCCCATGACTGGAGGAGTGAAAAGATGCGCAGCAAATGTTTTATTTGTGGACGGAAATGACAGGAAACGTGGGTTTAGAGGTGGGGAGTGCATGAAGCGGTGGGAGAATGAGAGACAAATATGTCCGTGTTAAAAGTCTCTTATATACACAAAAAACACAATATAAACACACTATCTTTGACCGATACATGACAGGATACCACAGAACAGCGCTACGCCCTCTGTGGTCCTGTCAGGTAATTGCTTTGCAACACTCTCCAGGAGACGGAGAAGTAAAAGAGCAAAAAGCTTCTGTCAATCCGTGTGTGTCTGTCACTCTCCAGGAGACGGAGAAGTAAAAGAGCAAAACGTTTCCGTCAATCCGTGTGTGTCTGTCCCTTGCGGAGCTGACGGAGAAGCATAAACCAGGCTTAACTGTTAGTAGCCTACTCGCAGCTACTAACTTTAGAACTGCAGTCCGGCCAGACAAGGGAGTGTGCTGCCTGTGTCTGTCAGACAGAAAACACAAATTAAAGTACTTTTACTTTAGAAAATTTTTGGAAAGTTTAGTGGAGTAGAAAGTACAAATAATTGTATTAAAATGTAATTGTGTAAAAGTAAAAAGTAGCCCTGAAGTAAAGACACAGGTAAATTGCACTTATTCCATCACTGCAATCGTGTCTTTTTTAAATCACACTTAGGTCAGAAGAATGCTACAATCTAACAAAGTGTGTGTTAGTGTAGCTAGTGCAAATGGTGTAGCTAGTGTAGCTTGAGCAGCTAGTGTAGCTAGTGCAGCTAATGCAGCTAGTGTAGCTTGAGCAGCTAGTACAACTAGTGCAGCTTCTGTAGCTTGGGCAGCTAGTGTAGCTTGAGCAGCTAATGCAGCTAGTGTAGCTTGAGCAGCTAGTGCAGCTAGTGTAGCTAGTGCAGCTAATGTAGCTTGAGCAGCAAATGCAGCTAGTGTAGCTTGAGCAGCTAATGCAGCTAGTGTAGCTTGAGCAGCTAATGTCGCTTGAGCAGCAAATGCACCTAGTGTAGCTTGAGCAGCTAGTGTAGCTTGAGCAGCTAATGCAGCTAGTGTAGCTTGAGCAGCTAGTACAACTAGTGCAGCTAGTGCAGCTTGAGCAGCTAGTGCAGCCAGTGTAGCTTGAGCAGCTAATGCCGCTAAAGTAGCTTGAGCATCTAATGCAGCTAGTGCTTGAGCAGCTAGTGCAGCTAGTATAGCTTGAGCAGCTAATGCAGCTAATGTAGCTTGAGCAGCTAATGCAGCTAGTGTAGCTTGAGCAGCTAGTGTAGCTTGAGCAGCTAATGCAGCTAGTGTTGCTGGTGTAGCATCATAAACCTGCTTAGATTCAGAAAATCACAAACTTGTGGTGCCTCCCTGAGTTCTTCAGCAATGACACAGCTGTCGTTTCTACTTTAGGCGACCTATTCACCATACCGTGACCGCATTCCACTTCAGATTGTTCGAGCTGAGGTGGAACTGTCTGCAGAGGAGCGGGCCTACCTCACAGCTGTAGAGAAAGGTGTGTGCGCACACACACACACACACACACACACACACACACACACACACACACACACACACACACACACACACACACACACACACACTTTGCTGTCTCCAGCCATCTGTTTACTTCAAATGCGGGAGGCCATTTGTTCCCTCCACACCTGCACTCTGCTCATCCAGTCAGCGGTTAAACGATGCTGAGGGCCGAGCTGGTCCAATTGCAGCTGTCCACAGGTGTCGTCTCTGCTACATCATCAGTCTGTCAACATGTCCAATGTTCTCAACAGGGGAATAAGCTCCACTTAGGACAGATCCAATACAGAAATTATTATTTTTATGGAGCACAGTAAATATTTATAGACAGATTGCCACATTGTCATTGATGCAACATCTGCAGGTAAAGATTACCTGCACGCATTAGGTGGAGAAGTTAAGATATTTGTATTTTGCTTTGTTTTTATACGTAAGTTCAGACGGATACATGCCTTATGAAACTGTGGCAAGGTGGAGAAACGAGTGCCCGTGCGGGATTCGATCCCCAGATTCCTGGGTGAGAGTCACGTGCACTAACCAGTCAGCAAAAGGGACGTCCACTTGACCAAGTAGCCAGGGCGCATGATCAATCGGGGCACTGTGACAGGATGCTCACACTGCCACAAAACAATTCCTGCAAATACTACTGAAAATGAAAAATACTGAACGGAATCGACAAACAGTACAAATGTTTACTTCGATGAAGTTTTAGTTAATTATTACTTAATCATGATGGTTTTACTTGTGAGTCCTTATGCCACCCTCTAGTTTCTGCTGCAAATACAACATCAATCGTCTCTGGAAATAATTGTAATGACTCAAACCCAGTGCTTGCATAAGTTCTGGTTTTTCCCATGCAGAGAGAAACAAACCCACAGAAAGACCGATTGCATATAGTTTTCATTTGAATTACATACAAAAGCACAGATGTGTATTAATAGAAGTTCTGTTCCTTAGCAATTTACAGAACAGCCATCACGTACTTATGTAGAAGTGGAAAGCAGGCCCTGCTAATACCACTGTTCTTTAGTCTTGCAAGATGAACTCATTTTTTGAAAAAGGCCCAACAGTGTTCACAGATGAATTTACTAATTGCTAATAAAGTTTTGTACAGCAGATTCTACCTTCAAATGTAATAAAATAACTGGTAACAATTACAATATGGGTCCCTTTATTAACGTTACTCAGTGTATTTTTAAGCATTAATAAACAAAGGGTTCCTTAATTAATTAATTTATTTATTCATTTATTTGTTTGTTTATTTATTTATTTATTTACACTTTATTTAGCCAGGAAGGTTCCATTGAGATTAAAAACAGTTGCACACAGGGTCCCAAGTCCAAAACAACCAGAAAAAACAATGAGGCTATGAAAAACATTATAACCTTCTTTTTGCAAAGCACAAGGTCAGCAGAATAATGTTTCTGAGAAATAAATGCACAGAAATCAGGTTCCAGGAAGGTGGTGAAGGCCAGATTCTGGGAGGAGCAGCAGGCCCATGCTAGGTTCAGGAGTATGATCCAGTAAGGGTCATTTTGTGATGAAATTTGATTCAGGCTGAACGTCCTCTCCAGCCAAATGATCTTAATCTCCTATTTTATAAAAAATCAACTCTGCAGAATAATGCTTGTGAGCAGTTCAGCAATTCATCCAGGTCACAGGAAGGTGTTGAAGGCTCTGTCCCGAGGAGGTGTTGCAATTAGCATCTACTTGACAAAAAGATAAGGCACTCAGTCCGAACCCCAAGTGGTGAAAATCAGGCCTGGTGTCGGTACAGGATCTGTTCGGGTGCAAGATTGGCTCGGGGCCCTTCGACTGCCGATGACGTCAAAGTACGGCAAACCCACTTGGACAAAATACACTACACATCAATACTGTTGGAAAGAATTTAGCAGTTTTGTTATTAAAATAATGTTTCTTAAGACGTAAGTTTGTGTTTATAATTGTATTTGTAAAATAAAACTCTATATAGTATTCATAATGTTGAACTCCTCTTTGAGCACATCCCTTGAAGGATCATAGGTATTAGCAACACCTGTGAAATTGTATTTGCAGGAAAGAAGTGTGTCCCGTTTATTGAAGTATTTTGTGGTTAGAGTTTTTGATGTCTTGTCCATGAGTAGTTCAGTTACGCTCGTAGCTGCTAGCCAAAACTCTGGAGTTAAAAGTTTTCTGGCTTTACTAAAATTCCTGTCTGTACTTATTTGATTGATGGTAGTTTTACTTTCTATTAGACTCCAAATGTAATCATTTGGCACGTTTCTAATTCATAATTTGTAAGAATGTAATCGGTGATATTAGCATTAGTATTCCTATGGGTTTTTCCACGTATATTAGCATTGCGCTAACCACTCGCTGCCAAATTGCAGTCTTTGCGGTTAGAAAATCTCCTTTTGTCACATGGCAATTTAATTGCACATGCAGTTAATTGTTCAGCCCTAATATACATGCAGCTCTATGCTAAAAGTGTATTTTCAAAGAGGTAATGATGGATTTCTTTGTAAAAGTTGTCCATCTTTCCAACAGAAAAATTTGCCTGGACCAACGTAACTTGATTACGTAATTCCATAAGATTCATGTTCAGCCAATCAACTACTTTGACGTCATCGGCAGTCGACGGACCCCGAGCAGATCTTGTACCGACACCGGCCAGAAAGTCAAAGCAGAACCACGCTTTGTGACTGCATCAGGGCTAATGAAGTGGAAGCCATAGACGAGCCAGGATTCAAGCGGGCTCAGCAGACACAAGCCAACTTGACTCGACTAGCAATCCAGTCCGACAATGATGGGAAGCCCAGTTGAGGCTGTCAAAAACATATAAATCAGGCAGAGACCAGCACAATCCCAGGAAGGGCGAGACAGAAACCAGCAGAACCACAGCCGAAAATGAAAGCCTCTGTTCAGGCCAGCCAAGGTCGGAGCCACAGAGAAAGGAAGGTCAGGTCAAGGCAAGGAGGATCCACACTGAAGATGGTAGAAGTTTGTGGGTTGCTGTAATTTGTGAGAAGAATGGGATCAGCCACTCCACACAGCAGGCCTTTGTTCTCTAGGAATGTGGTCAAACAGCGTCTGTCTCAGACTGCAGGCATCAGTGTCACTGACTACGTTTACATGCAGCCAATATCCGGGTTATGATCGAGTTAAGGTCGGTTTTCGGGTTTCTGAGTTGATCAGAATAACCCTTTTACAAGCATAAATAGAAAGAGTTACCCCTAACTTGCGTAACCCGATATAAATGCGGACGTTGGGGTAGCGTCAGGACGTATGGACTACGTCAAGACGCAATATGCGTCATTTCCAGTTCTTCTTGTTCCGGTATCCGTGAAAACAACAACCTGTTTCCCAGTTCGGAAGAGATAGCAACCGCGTTTGTTTGCTCTTTAGTTTCCTCGTCACTCCAAAAGTGTGGTGCTGTGCCGCGACTCGCCATGTTGCTCCCAATTTGTTGTTTACTTTCGGTGTTCTGGGGCATACAAGACGTCTCGCTACTCAAAAGACCAAGATTCCTTGCGAACAGAGCATGCGCAGAACACACGCTTTGATGGGGATTTCCCGATATGTGTTTACACGACCAAACATTCGGGTTAGAAAAGGGTTACCCCAGGTGTAGTAACCGGGTTTTTAAAAACCCGGTTATGAGCATATCCGGGTTTTTGGCTGTGTTTACATGGACCTGCGGAACCGGGTTATTGTGAATATTCGGGTTTTAAAAGGGTTACTGGCTGCATGTAAACGCACTCACTGCAGCAAGGCTTGAGGTTCAGAAGTAATCCAGGACCATCTGTCAAATTCCACGAGTCAAAAACCTCCCAAAAATAATGAGTGTTACTTATATCATCTGCTTCAAAGTTTTCACTAAATGGAAAGAAAATATTAACTATAAGATCAGACAAAAACATAAAACAATCAGGGACTGACAAATGAGCAGTAGACTACTAGGGCTGCCATCTTGGGAAAAAGTGCTTTATTTGCATTGCCGATACTATTAAACCTTAAGTGTCCTTAAGATTAGGACAATGGGCTTGGGGGAGTCCTGCTTAGAAATGCATTACATAATATGATTAAGCAGCTGTTGCTACTTTATTCAATAGTTTATTTTTGTGAGAGCTTTCTGTCTTTCTTTGTGGACAAAGTCAATAAGGTTAGATCTAGCATCTCTCCTTCAGCCTTATTGCCGCCTCTCCCGACTCCAACCAGGCCCATCATCCTAGATAGCTTTGCTCCTGTTTCTCTGCCTGAGTTAACCAAACTAGTTAACTCTATGAAGACCATGCCCCCTCAACATCTTACCCTCATCTTTGTTTAAAAGTGCTTTTGAGTCCATCGGTCCCAGCGTGCTCTCTATAGTTAATGCTTCTCTGGTCTCTGGTCACGTCCCTGCTTACTTTAAGAATGCTGTAATCCACCCGCTTCTTAAAAAACCGAGTCTTGACCCCTAAACTCCATAGCAGCTTCAGACCCATCTCTAAACTTCTGTTCATCTCCAAGATCTTAAAAAACGTTGTGGCTAAACAACTAACAGCTGCTCTTGATGAACATAACATCTATGATAGCTTCCAGTCAGGTTTTCGTAGAGCTCATTCTACTGAAACAGCTCTTCTTAGGATCTCTAATGACCTTCTGACTCACAGTGATGCAGGGGACTGTTCTGTTCTGGTCCTGTTGGACCTGACTGCAGCCTTTGACACTGTTGACCATCACCTGCTACTGGAGAGGCTGAGAGACTGGGTAGGCCTATCAGGATCTGCTCTGGAGTGGTTCTCCTCTTATCTCTCTGAGCGCTCCTTTTCTGTGGCCGTCTCCAAGTTTAGGTCCTCCACCACCTCTCTTACCCATGGTGTCCCACAAGGTTCTGTGCTGGGGCCTCTGCTCTTCCTCCTCTATCTGCTTCCTCTTCAGCACATCCTGAGCTCCATCAAAGGAATCTCCTACTATCTTTATGCAGATGACATCCAGCTGTACATCTCCTTTAAGCCCCATGAGATGTCTAAGCTGCAGCTGCTACACACCTGCTTAGACTCTATCAAAACCTGGATGGCTGGGAGCTTTCTTCAGCTGAATGAAGATAAGACTGAGATCCTCATTTGTGCCCCAGACAAGCTGGTTCCCAAAGTCAGAGACTCTCTTGGTCAGCTTGCTTCTCACACCAAACCCTCTGTCAGGAATCTTGGCGCGACCTTTGACCCAGCTCTCACCCTGGATTCTCATGTCAGTTCTCTTGTTCGCTCTTCCTTCTTCCATCTCAGGAACATTGCTAAGCTGAGTCCCATTCTGTCCCGCTCTGAACTTGAGACAGTTCTCCACACCTTCATCTCCTCACGCTTAGACTACTGTAACTCTCTTTTCACGTGTCTGAGCAGAACCTCCCTGAACCGTCTACAGGTGGTTCAGAATGCCTGTGCTCGGCTTCTGACCAAGTCCTCCAAACACACCCACATCACCCCGCTTCTCCTCCAGCTTCACTGGCTGCCAGTCAACTTCAGGGTTCATTTCAAGATCCTGGTTCTGGTCTATAGGGCCTTACATGGACAAGCACCATCTTACATTGGTGAGGAGCCCCTGAGGACAAATTGGTTACAAAGCTTTCACCATTCCAAAACGTCGTATAGCTTTATCTCTTCACTCGTTGCCAGTGAAGAAACTGAGCCTGATGTTCTAGTTGTGCTGGAGGTTTAATGATCTGGCGAAGTACTCATTTAAAACTACATTTACTTTAGTTCTTTGGTGTACACTGTGTGATGAGGGTTTGTTTTTTACCTTTGCAGAGGTTTAACTTGTTTAAAAAATTGCGCTCCCAGGAGCTTTAGACCCTAATGGCCATCCGTTGGTAAGGTATTGCTTAAAAACAAAAATCCTGCTTGTTTGCAATGACCGAAAAGGCACACCATAACCTTAATGGACCGTATCACTTTCAAGGCAGTATAGCTTTATTCAAATGACACATTTCATACACAGAAGCAAATGAGTGTGTTTATGTCACATCACTTACTAATGTTTTGTATTGCATTCTCCTAATTTCTCAAATTACTTCCAAAAGTACCACATTTATTTCCAGTGTAGTGTATAACTTGTATCCCTTCCTACTGTATCACATTACTTTGTATTATCTTGTAACACTTTTGAGTGTATCACATTGATTCCTAGTGTATTCAGAATGTGTTATATCCCTTCTAATGCATCTTGTCAATTTATAACGTATCAAATCACAAGTAATGCATCATGACACGACGGGACCATGAAACATTCCTGGAGATGCTCACCATCAGCCCCTCCCATGTCCCTCCTCCCTCCAGGTGACTATGCAGGTGTCAAGCATGCCCTTCGGGAGGCAGAGGTATACTACAACATGGACGTCAACTGTCTGGACCCACTGGGCCGCAGCGCGCTACTCATCGCCATCGAGAATGAGAATCTGGAGATCATGGAGCTCCTGCTGGACCATGGCATCCACACGGGTGACGCCCTGCTGTACGCCATCAGAAAGGAGGTGGTGGGCGCCGTGGAGCTGCTGCTGTCCCACAGGAGGCCGAGTGGGGAGAAGCAGGTACTTTCAGACTAGCTTCACGGGTTTTAGTTCTAATCTGCAGCAGCCAGGCTGCACGCGTTTGCATTCACTCATGCATGAATGTGCGTCGGTGTGTATTTTTCCCATTTCAATGTTTTTGTGCATGTGTGTGAGATAATGAGCCACACATCCATTGATTGTAACGCTCCATGCCGCATTCTGCTGAGAGGATGAAAATTAAACAGCTCGTTTAACAGACAAGCTGTGAAATCGGATTTGGAGACAGACACCATTTTGTCTGCCTGCTGCAGTTCTTGGTGTGTTTTGTTCATTGTGTGTGTTTGCTGGAGAAAAGCGACGTAAAGCACCACAATACACACTTTAGCATAAGTATGGCTGTTAGGGGAATCAATGGGAACACAGTCAGGGACAGGAAGTGAGAAAGAGCTTAAACGTCTTTATGAAGAAGAAATTACATCAAAAGAGGAGGAAAGGGGAGAGGAAATAGTTCTTCTGAGGTTTTTTATTATTATTATTAATTTCTGAATCATTAGAGGCTGCTGAGTTTTTAAAATCACCATGGCAACCAACCTTTGGCAAGAGCAGAGGATTGTGGGAAGGTTCTGGTTGACTCTCAGTTGGATGAAGATGGGAACACTTTTGCTGTTCTTGCCATGATTCTTGTTTTGTGTCCACAGTTCTGAAAAGAGGGAACCGGAGAACAAAATGAAAATATGGAACGTGGAAAGTTAGAGAACAGAAACAGATTAGGAGAGATTTAAAAATAAAAAGGGAGAGGGGGATGAGGAGGAAGGAAGAGTGGGATGTTAACAGATACGCAGATTTTAAAAAGTTGCTTTTTAAGCTGGAAATAACTTCTGAGCTCTGTAAAAATGTTTTAACACTCGTCTTTCACCATGTTTCACTTTAATTCAGTCTATTTTTTTAGTTTGATAAATTACCTTAAACATCCAAAGCAAAAATGAAAGAAAACAACCAAACGTATTTAAATTAGGTCAGTGAAGCATCAATGTGCAGTGCCTTTATAACTGATTTCTTTGACTTTAGTTGGCTGAGTCTTCTCAGTATATCAGCGGTTCCAGCGTCTCCTCCTGCATTAATGACTTCTACGGTGGCAAACCGGGCTCAGACGGGCTAACTGCTCCATTTCCTGTTGGAAAATATCCAATTAGAACGCAGTTCTCAAAGTTTTTTCCCAAAGTTTCTACCTAGGAATGCGCTCATTAATTTAGAAAGATAAACAAGGACATGTTTTAACTTCTGAGCTTAAAATTTATTTAGTCCAAAATGATTTCTGCGATAACTCGCTTTTTTTTTTATTAGAAAGTGGTACAGCTGAGTAGTGCTGGCCTAATTAGTCAGAAAGACAGTCGTGTTGTCTTTCATCAAGTCAAAACAACGTAAAAATAGTTTATTTCTAACAAATCAAACTTTAAAACAAACAGAATAAGAAGCTCAGTGAGACTGATGCACACTTGAAGGGCTTTCCAACTCTTTTGATGTTTACACTGCAAAAACCGATTTTTAAGCCTAATTTTAGTCATTTAATTTTAGTTTTAGTTTTATTTAAAACAAGGTAAATATTCTTAAATATGTTCCAAAATTTCTGTTTTTTGAGTAAAAAAAAAATCCACCAATAGGGCAGAACTGGCAATAATTCTCATATACCAAACAAATCTAACAGATATTTGCTACTTTTAGGAAATTGAACAGATTATTTACTAGTTTGGGGGGGGGGGGGGGGGGGGGGTGTTGTCACAAACTCACATCAAAGGAGAGCGTCAAACCAGAGCCAAGTCTGCAACATCACACTTGAGCTTCAGACGGCAGGTTTTGGACTCTTTGGACATCTTGCCTGTGATTGGCTAACAGCGACATGACTCTGCGACTGACTCTGTTTGCCTTGCAACGCTGATGTTTTATCACCAAAAATAACACAAACCTGGAGGAGTTCTGCCATGGGCAGCTCCAGGAAATTTTACCAGCAGTTGCTGTACAGTTGCTCGGTCAGTGTTTGGGGTTGCTGTCCCCTGTCGGCGCTTATTGAAGGGGGGGGGGGGGGGGGGCTACAACATGAAATTCAAGGGCAACAAAACGAAGTACAGAAAAAGGTGAACATTTTTATCCTGCCTTTCATTATCACTGTTACATGACAATGCACACAAACCACATTGGGACCCATTTTCCCGGTGTTCTATCAGAATTTGATCCCTGCTTCTGGATGAAAAACCGGACATTATCATGAATACAAGAACCAACCCCCTCACCCCACCCCTCCTGACAGAGAGTGAAAAGTTGACGTGTACGGCCTCCTGGTTTGATGCCAGCTCCGGCTTTCTCCTCGCAGTTTATGGAAGATTTCAACACGAAACGGGAGACTGTCTTAAATGCGAGACAGAGCTTGGTCATGCTACTCTCCAGGCCAGCGCATGTTGGCACGGTGCGCACGCGAGGTGTGGGGTGGTGGTGGTGGGGGTGCGTTCAAGATTTGGGGTTGCTGAGCAGTTGCTTAGCCCAATCTTGGGGTTGTTTAGCAACCCCTAGCTACCGCCTGGTGCCGCCCATGAGTTCTGCTGTGTGGTGGAGTTGCTAATGCTAACGGTTAGTTTTTAATAGCCAAGACGTTCTCTACCATTTCCTGGACGCTAAACCAACAACAGTCTTCCCTGTCGTGAGTAAAGATGGGTGAGTCCATGAATGTTAAGTGACAGTGTGACGTAGACCTGTCAGGCTTTTCAAACCTAGAGTTTCACCGTCTGTTTCGTATCAGAAGCTAATGCAGGAGATAGGTGTAGGAGACTATCGTCATGTTCAGCCTGCATGAAAAACTCAGAGTAACTGATTACAAATAGAAATAATCATTAAAAAATGTATTTTTTTTCAGTGTTCCACGCTTTTAGGAACTTGAAACATATATAAAAATATACCTTATTTTAAGTAATGATATTTTTCTAGATAATATTTTTTTTCATTAAAAGTAAGATAAAATGTATAAAAAACATAGCCTTTTGTTTTTTCTTAGAAATTAGCTTTTGCAGTGTAGCAACTGAATAAAACGTTCCCATGTTTTTATAAAAGGTAAAACTTCTACTTACAAAAGAAAAGTCAACTTTAACACTAAACGTCTGTTAAAGGTTTAATACTTAAATATTAATAAGTAATTCAAAGAAAACCCCATGGATACAGTTTGATTGTCAACAACAGTACACGACAGAAAACAACAAATGGAATAAAATGAAATGATGTCATTTTTGTTTTCAATCTTTGTTGTTATTTTTATAACAACATTGAGAGAAAGAATTAGTAAAAGCACAAATAAAAACGTCTCTCAATGTATGTTCGAGTCAACCTTTCAGATAGTGTGAAAGCAATCATGATAATACGGAAAACACATTTTATATTTTTAAATGCCATTTCACCTATTTAAAAAAAAAAGACGATAATAACCAGCAAAGTTCATCAAGTTCAAAGTTCACCCATAATGCACAGCAACATATTTGGGGAAACCAAAACAGCACATAAGCATTGAACCTTGTTGCAGCCATTTTGGGCACCTTGCAGTAATTGAGTCGATCTTGAACTCCTCTGTGGATCAAAGTACTCGAGAGTAAAGCATGAGACCATTGGTCTGATGGCTGATTTTCAACTAACCGGGTCAGAAAAGGTATAGAAACCCTAAACACAATAGGCTCTGTCAAAGTCCAGACCTTCATCTAATCCAAACGCTTTTACAAGACCTTCAAAAGATCAAGAAAACTCAGACATTCATTTAGAGGTTGGATTTAACTTATTTTCATACGTTTTTAGTTCCTCCTGTGACATAAAACCCAAAACTAAACCTCTCTGCGTGTTTTTAATCAGTGTTTGATGCCCATCTTGCAGCAGCTGTGTTCACACTTCTTATCACGGCAGGCAAAGGAAAGAGAGGGAGCAGAAGGGGGAAAGAACAGATGAGTAAAAAAGGGTTTTGGCAGGAGAGAAAAGGGAAGGAGTCTGAGGATGAAGACAGAAGAGCAGAGAGTGGTATAGGGAGGTAAAGCAGGCGGAGAGAGGAGATGAAGGGAGGAATGAAGAGAATACAGCCAGGAGAGAGAGAGAGACGTGTAGGAGGAACAAGGGAGAGTAAATGAAAGAATGTAGGAGATGAAGATGGAGAAGACATGATCAGATAAGAAAGAAGAAGTCTTCATCCTCCCTCTGAGATGACCCCCCCCCCCCCAACTCTGCTGCTCTCTTCAAGATTTCATGAGGTGTGCGTGTGTGTGTGTGTGTGTGTGTGTGTGTGTGTGTGCGCGCGCGCGGGCGCGTGCACATCTGCAGCAACACTTTAGCTAGTTTGCTGCAGATATTTCACCAACGCTTCAGTCCAAACTACAACAACAACACTCATGAAATAACTTTGGTGCATTTGCTTTCTTCAGGTTCCGTCCCTCATGATGGACAGTCAGTTTTCAGAGTTCACCCCTGATATAACTCCCATCATGCTCGCTGCTCACACCAACAACTATGAGATTATCAAGCTGCTTGTCCAGAGAAAGGTAGAAGCATTTAAACACACGAGGAATCCATTTAAATGACAGATGAATCTATTTTAACTGCATGATTTATATTTAATGTTTGTGAGCAGGTCACCATCCCCAGACCGCATCAGATACGCTGTGACTGTGTAGAGTGTGTATCCAGTTCAGAGGTAAGTGATGATTTCTGTTAAACATCATGGTTTTAGCTATATGTATATAACTATATGTATATAACTATAGCTATAACTATATATGTAACTATAGCTATAACTATGTATATAACTATAGCTATAACTATATACATAACTATAGCTATAACTATATACCGTATATAACTATAGCTATAACTATATACATAACTATAGCTATAACTATATACCGTATATAACTATAGCTATAACTATATACATAACTATAGCTATAACTATATACATAACTATAGCTATAACTATATACCGTATATAACTATAGCTATAACTATATACCGTATATAACTATAGCTATAACTATATACATAACTATAGCTATAACTATATACCGTATATAACTATAGCTATAACTATATACATAACTATAGCTATAACTATATACATAACTATAGCTATAACTATATACCGTATATAACTATAGCTATAACTATATACATAACTATAGCTATAACTATATACCGTATATAACTATAGCTATAACTATGTATATAACTATAGCTATAACTATATACATAACTATAGCTATAACTATATACATAACTATAGCTATAACTATATACATAACTATAGCTATAACTATATACCGTATAAAACTATAGCGATAACTATATACATAACTATAGCTATAACTATATACCGTATATAACTATAGCTATAAATATATACATAACTATAGCTATAACTATATACCGTATATAACTATAGCTATAACTATATACATAACTATAGCTATAACTATATACATAACTATAGCTATAACTATATACATAACTATAGCTATAACTATATACATAACTATAGCTATAACTATATACCGTATATAACTATAGCTATAACTATATACATAACTATAGCTATAACTATATACCGTATATAACTATAGCTATAACTATATACATAACTATAGCTATAACTATATACATAACTATAGCTATAACTATATACCGTATATAACTATAGCTATAACTATATACCGTATATAACTATAGCTATAACTATATACATAACTATAGCTATAACTATATACCGTATATAACTATAGCTATAACTATATACATAACTATAGCTATAACTATATACATAACTATAGCTATAACTATATACCGTATATAACTATAGCTATAACTATATACCGTATATAACTATAGCTATAACTATATACATAACTATAGCTATAACTATATACCGTATATAACTATAGCTATAACTATATACATAACTATAGCTATAACTATATACCGTATATAACTATAGCTATAACTATTTACCGTATATAACTATAGCTATAACTATATACATAACTATAGCTATAACTATATACCATATATAACTATAGCTATAACTATATACATAACTATAGCTATAACTATATACATAACTATAGCTATAACTATATACCGTATATAACTATAGCTATAACTATATACATAACTATAGCTATAACTATATACCGTATATAACTATAGCTATAACTATGTATATAACTATAGCTATAACTATATACATAACTATAGCTATAACTATATACCGTATATAACTATAGCTATAACTATGTATATAACTATAGCTATAACTATATATGTGACTATAGTTATAACATATGTAACTATAGCTATAACTATATGTATATAACTATAGCTATAACTATATAGGTAACTATAGCTATAACTATATATGTAACTATAGCTATAACTATGTATATAACTATAGCTATAACTATATACATAACTATAGCTATAACTATATACCGTATATAACTATAGCTATAACTATGTATATAACTATAGCTATAACTATATGTAACTACAGCTATAACTATATATATAACTATAGCTATAACTATATATATATATATATATATAACTATAGCTATATATATATATATATATATATATATATATAACTATAGCTATATATATATATATATATATATATATATATATAAAACTAGAGCTATAACTATATGTGTGTGTGTGTGTGTGTGTGTGTGTGTGTGTATTTATATATAACTATAGCTATAACTATATATATATAACGTACATATATAACTATAACTATATATAATTATAGCTCTTTTCATATTTAGGTGAGGGATCAGATAAAGTACAGCCCAAAGACCCCTTATAATAAATAATACTGATACAGTGTTCCCTCGCCTGGACGCGGGTCACCGAGGCCCCCCTCCGGAGCCAGTTCTGGAGGTGGGGCACGTCAGCGAGCGCCTGGTGGCCGGGCCGGGCCGGGCACAGCCTGAAGAGGAAACGTGGGTCCCCCTTTCCATGGGCTCACCACTTGTGGGAGAGGCCAAAGGGGTCGGGTGCAGTGTGTGATGGGTGGTAGCCAAAGGCGGGGACATTGTTGGTCTGATCTTCAGCTACAGAAGCTGACTCTCAGCACGTGGAATGTCACCATCTTTGTGTGTGAGGTTGAGACGTTCTGACTAGATTTGGTCAGACTCACCTCAACGCATGACTCTGACTCAGGAGTGGAGCCGGAAGGCAAAGCTCTCTACTTTCCGGTTGATCTGCGTTCCTACCCTCACCCATAGTCTCGAGCTTTGGATAGTGACCGAAAGAACGAGATTGTGGGTACAAGCAGCCTAAATGAGTTTTCTCCAGCTGGGTGGCTGGGCTCTAACTTCGAGATAGGGTGAGAAGCTCAGTCATCTGGGAGGGGCTCGGGTCAGACCCGCTGCTCCTCCACATGGATGGATGAATACATTTATATAACTAATAATAAATATAACTACAGTTATAACTGAATATAACTAAAACTGTAACTTTATATAATTACAGCTATAATTTGATTAAAGTAAAACAAATTTAAATCTTTTAATTTGTGTTCTAATGTGAAACTAACTGATCATCCTCAGGTCGACAGCCTTCGACATTCACGGTCTAGACTCAACATCTACAAGGCACTGGCCTCGCCCTCACTCATCGCTCTTTCCAGTGAAGACCCCATCCTCACGGCCTTCAGACTGGGCTGGGAACTCAAAGAACTCAGCAAGGTACCGACAAATACCCCGCCGAGGGGAGTCCTTACTTCAGCTGCGGATTTTCATTCACGAAACAAGTTCAAAAAGTTTGTTGTGGAATATTTATGGGCAGCGTGAACGTACAGTCGGCAGCACTGTTGCCTAGCAGCAAGAAGGTTTCCATCCCAGCTGCAGCCTCTCTTAACATTATCTCCCTATTCATGAGTGCGTTCTCTCCAGTTACGCTGGTTTCATCCCTGACCTAAACCATGCATGTCAGGTTGATTGCAAACTCTAGATCCTCTCTAGGTTTAAGTGTGTGTTTGAATGGTGTCTCCTCGTGATGGACTAGCAACCTGTCCAGGGCATCCCCCACCACTCACCTGGTGGCCACTGCAGATAAGCACAAACTCCCCTCAACCCCCCGAAAATGAAGTGGTATCGAAGATGAATGAGAGCAACAAACGTGACATTAGAGCCCAGTTTGCCAACTCAGCAATCGTGTCCAACCTCCATATAATAAATATACTAGAGGATTGCTGCAGCCCAAGACTCCCCCTTCTGGTGGTCTAATGCCATTGTAACTTAACTCAACCATAACGTTACACAAGCAGCAGCAAAGAGCTTTCTAGAAAAGCATTGCAGCAAAGTTTAAAAGTGGTAGTTTAAAACTCCCGTGAGTCATTGTGTCAAAAGCAAGGCAGTGACCAGTAGGCTAGTTTATGACAGACTTAATGACTTTTGCAAGATTCATGTTTTCAGCCATAAAACTTGTTGTAAGGGAGTTATTTAAATATAAAATCAACAAACTTCCTCTTGAGACTGTATCCAGTGGGTTGTCGGTTTGAACCCAGGCTTCACCTGTGACAGTTGTCTTTAGCTGTGGCTATAATGATGTGAAGGCATAGTTTCTGGCAGGTTTTCCTTCTAGACTACAGGAGTAGACGTGCCTTTTTACCAATGTGAGGCCTTCCGCAGCATTTACGCCGAGTGATGCCTTTTAGTTTAAAAAGCTTTCTGGCTGCTTCTGTAACATTCAACATGTCCCACGTTTCAGGTGGAGAATGAGTTTCGTCAGGAGTACGAGGAGCTGTCACAGCAGTGCAAACGATTCGCCAAAGACCTTCTGGATCAGGCCAGAAGTTCGAGAGAACTGGAGACCATCCTGAACCACAGAGACAACGACCAGAGTGAGGAGCTGGACCCCAGACAATGCCATGATTTAGCCAAGCTTAAACTCGCCATCAAGTACCACCAGAAAGAGGTAGGGGCCATCTTGGTTATGGTCTTTGATGCAGAGTGGAGTTTGGTTGTTTTCTTCATTAACAAATGGAATCTTTGGGCTTGGGTGTATGAATAGTTTAAACTTGTTGACACAATTTACCATACAAGCCGAAGAATAAAGCCAGCATGATAGACGTTGTTCTGGGTTGCGTAGTGACCAGAGTGGCTGTGAGATGTTCATTTACGTGCTCGGCTGTTTTCCATTGTCTACAATAAGTAACTGATATGGAAACTTTACAGTGACCTCTCTCTGACCTCTACGAAGCATTAAAGTGGTGTTGAAGTGTCATTGAGTGGCCGTGAACGCATGGAGTGGGTGGTTTGGCACATTGTGCATCAGCTTTGGACCTTGTGAGTTTGACCATGACTGCAACAGTAAAGTGGAAAACAAAACAACAAAAAAACATCAAACTGTATGTTGACGAAACAGCTATGAAGTGATGCTAGTTGACCATGAGATTCTCTCAAAGCGGGCATTCGATTCGTTATGTTCTGTTTAAATACGCAGCTAAGCTTAGCCTTTTTTGGTTTGTTTGAAACATATTTATATATTTTTGAAGCTCTGGTCTCGACCTGCTTTCTACAAACATAGAGCGCTGTGATTGGCCTGACCTAAGTCTCTTCGGTCCAATGGTAGACCAGGTGAAGCTACAATGGGGCGCGGCTAGACAGACTGCAGAACATTACTTTTTGGCTACAGCTGGTCTATTTAGCTGGTCTAAATATGTGTTTCTCTGTGTAGGGGAAATTCCTCCATGACCCCTTATGACCTTTAACCTGATAATACACATCTAAACTCAGAACAATCATCCTCTTAACAACCCGTGGACTAGCACTTGATTTGGTGTAAAAACAAAGCTAGTTCTACTGCCTAAAGATGTTTTCTATTGTCTGACTAATTCAAGTCCCTCTCTATTGAAACATTTTTTTTATTTTGTAGAAATAACATCTAAATCAAAGCCATATACGCCTTTTACATATTTTATTTGTGTGTTTTTTTAATTATATTAAAATGCTGGAAGCATATCCTATAAAATGCACAATGGTGTCCCTTGCAATGGCCTTTTAATGTGACATTCATCTAGTTAATGTGTCAGAAAACTGTAAAACGTGTTAAATATGCAGGTTAACCTGCAAAAACAAATAACTGTTAGATGCATGTAAAATGGGTTTTTTATCATGTATGATGGAAGTTATGAATGAGAGGTTCATTCTATGGGAGTCAAACCTGCAGCTGTTTCAGCATGACGGATGCAGGCACTTTCTGCCCTAGTTACATCTTTTAAAACACATTTCTCTCTCTCTCTCTGTCACACACACACACACACACACACACACACACACACACACACACACACACACACACACACACACACACACACACTCCCACAGTGTGTGTTCTTGTGTGTGAGGAATTGAGAGACTCCACGTGTCCCTCATTGGTCCTGTCAGAGCAGGAAGAAAATGTTTGAGGACGTTCACAGAATCAGAAAGAGAGCATAAGGAGATCAGGGAGCGGGTTAGTGCGTGAGTGAGATGGAAGAGGAGGAGTGTCGGAGAGTTAAAGAATAACGCTGAGAGAAATAATGAGCTGGAAGAAGGGTGAGAGAGCAAACACATGAGAGAGGTTTAATGGGACAGAAGGAGAGGAAAATAAAGAAGTGAATGGATCAAGCCAGCTCATGAGTGAGAAAGAGATGTGATGGGATAGAGTTGAACAGTCCCGTTAGAGAAAGCCCAAGGCGAGCTCTGTCTCTCCCTTCACATCTACATGTTGGTTCCCTGCTGTTTCCAGCTCGGTGCAGCAGAAAGATCCTGGCAGACAGATGAAAGCTGCAGAGAGAGGAAGGAGTTAGAGGAGGAGGCAAGGAATGACAGAGATGATGCTTAGATGGACCGGAGGAGGCATAAGAGCAGGACGTGAAGTTCTCTCTCTCTCTCTCTCTCTCTCTCTCTCTCTCTCTCTCTCTCTCTCTCTCTCTCTCTCTCTCTCTCTCTCTCTCTCTCTCTTCTCTCTCTCCCTCCCTCTCTGGAGGACAGGAGGTTATGAAGGTAAAAATCAGAGAAGGAAACGTCAGGCGGAGCAGCCGGTGGAAACTTAAAGATAAAGCTTCAGGTTAAAAAGAAAAGGTTTTTCAGCTGTTTCTATTGGTTTCTATGGAGACTTTATTCAATAAATGATTGATGATGTTGAAAACCTCGGAACGAGTGGTGTAGATCATCATCGGCTTCATGTTTTTATGTTTTATTGTGACCATTGATATTTATACTGGACAATTCGTGTCCATAGGTTCGAATTATACGTCTTTGTGCCCAAATGGGTCACCACCGCCATTTTGACCGTGTCACAGGTCCCGTCATGCCCAGACAATCCAAAAATAGGAAAAGAGGTGGAGCTGAGGGTGGGGCTGTTATGTCTGGAACAGGTTTGGAACCAAATGAACCAGTGTAGCTACTAGCTAACTGCAATTTTTGCCACCTCCTTTTTGGCTTCATATTTGCTGCAGAATTATGGGGACTGGTTGTGGCCCGGCTGGGGGAAAAGAGATGAGGGAATAAACGACAGGTTCAACTTTTCATGTAGCAGCTGCTAAAAGTGAGATGCTCACACAGACATTCCATCATTACTTCTGTGATTTAGCTAAATTTCCCCTTGAATGACCTGAGCTTGATTTAACTGAAGCTACGGTCTAGTCCGAGCACAACAGGCTTCATTCTTTAAAGCAGTGGCTTACTCGTGTAATCAATACTTTTGCAGTAGTCTCTAGTAGGTGTGAATGCCTTGCAGGCAGAACTAAGGGCAAAGAAACCCCACAAACCTCTGGCTCAGCAGGGCCAAGTTTGTGACATCACAGCTGAGCTGAGCTTCAGACGACAGGATTCTGAGTCTTTTTTCCTGATGTTTGGACATCTCGCCCCAGACAGGATAACAGCAACGTGACTCTACCACTTACTTGCAACATTGATGTTTTATCTCCACAAATAACACAAGCCTGGAGGAGTTCTGCTGTGTGGTGAAGCTGCTAACAGTTAGCTTACACTAGCTGAGACAATATCTGCTCTCTCCTGGACGCTAATGCAACAACAGCCTTCCCCGTTTTGACTCAAGATGGGTGAACCCATGAATGTTAGGTGACAGTGTGACATGGATCTGTCAGACTTTTCTAATCCTAGAGTTTGATCTTCAACAAGTCCTAAAAAATAGCATATTGTGATAAAGTTCATTATTGTCTGTTATGTACTGATAAACATTAGACTTTCATATATTTTAGATTAATTACACACAACCAGGGGCGGCGTTAGGCCCGGCTACTTGGGCTGAAGCCCCGGATCTTTCATGATAAGCCCCGGATCTAAATCGCGGAAGTAACATGCAGTACCAAAGTCACACAGAGAGGGCGCAGCTGGCAGTAGTTTGTAAAGTCCCATTTAGTCGTCACACACACAGGTGTGTGGTGAAATTTATTCTCCGATTTTGACCCATCCCCTGAGTTGCAGACACGCCGCGCTCGGGAACTATTTGGTGGTTTAACCCCCCAATCCAACCCCAATCCAATGCTGAGTGTCAAGCAGGGAGGCATTGGGTCCCATTTTTCTCAAAATCTTTGGTATGACCCGACCAGGAGTCGAACCCCTGATCTCCCGATCTCAGGGCAGACACTCTACCACTAGGCTACTTAGTCAGTATACAGTTTACCTGAGACTGAAGAGAAGCCCTTCAGCAGCTGGCTTCTGCAGTCTCTGAAACGCATGAGTGAAGATGGACATAAGGACGTTTTTTAGACCAAAAGTACGGCGACAGAACCCCAGCTTTGATGAGACTGGTGTTGACTCAGGTTTGTGAGTCTTATTTGAAAATATTTGTTGTGCTGCTGGTTTGCCTAAAGTTAGCTTACTATCAGGTAAAGTTGTTGGAGAAAGAAAGGGAATATTCACTATCATCTCACACTAAACACTAACAGGAACAATACTCTGCCCTGAATATGCTGAATATGTAGCTTCAGATTAAACATTATGTGGTACAAGACAAATATGTATGATGTTGACTAGTGCGTGTCACGTGTGTGCGCGCATGCGTGTGTGTGCGCGTGCGTGTGTGTGCGCGCGCGTGTGTGTTAAGCCCCGGATCTTCTTCAGTCCTAAATCCGCCCCTGCACACAACTGAAGTAGTTCAAGCCTTTTATTGTTTCTAATATTGATGATTTTGGCGTACAGCTCATGAAAACCCAAAATTCCTATCTCAAAAACTTAGCATATCATGAAAAGGTTCTCTAAAGGAGCTATTAACCTAATCATCTGAATCAACTAATTAACTCTAAACACCTGCAAAAGATTCCTGAGGCTTTTAAAAACTCCCAGCCTGGTTCATTACTCAAAACTGCAAACATGGGTAAGACTGCCAACCTGACTGCTGTCCAGAAGGCCATCATTGACACCCTCAAGCAAGAGGGTAAGACACAAAGAAATTTCTGAATGAATAGGCTGTTCCCAGAGTGCTGTATCAAGGCACCTCAGTGGGAAGGAAAAAGTGTGGCAGAAAACGCTGCACAACGAGAAGAGGTGACTGGACCCTGAGGAAGATTGAGGAGAAGGACCAATTCCAGACCTTGGGGCACCTGCGGAAGCAGTGGACTGAGTCTGGAGTAGAAACATCCAGAGCCACCGTGTACAGGCGTGTGCAGGAAATGGGTTACAGGTGCCGCATTCCCCAGGTCAAGCCACTTTTGAACCAGAAACAGCGGCAGAAGCGCCTTACCTGGGCTACAGAGAAGCAGCACTGGACTGTTGCTCAGTGGTCCAAAGTACTTTTTTCGGATGAAAGCAAATTGTGCACGTCATTCGGAAATCAATGTGCCAGAGTCTGGAGGAAGACTGGGCAGAGGGAAATGCCAAAATGCCTGAAGTCCAGTGTCAAGTACCCACAGTCAGTGATGGTCTGGGGTGCCATGTCAGCTGCTGGTGTTGGTCCACTGTGTTTTA